TCGCGGGTGGGAGGGACTAAGATGCGCCGCGAGGAGTCGCAAATTTGGGAAATAAACAAGGACCTCTGACTTCTGATCTTCAGCACTCTGCGCTCAGGTACAACAGGTCCTCCCTGCCCCCCTCGTGATAAGCAGGTGGTCTAAAGTGAAAGAGGACCAAGTAAGGAGCAGAGAAGTCCAACATGCAGATGAACCTGAACACTCAGTGTGATCCTCCTGCAGACGGACAGCAGGTGGCGCTGCGGCTGCACTTCCCCTGTAATGTTTGTCCAGCACGATAACGCCGCATCTTCTGCAGTGGTCACCTGGCCTGAGCTTCTGGCCGCGGGTCCGAGCTCACCTTACCGACAGAGCTCACGCGCGTTCGTCACGAGGCTTTCGGGGAACGCGGCGCTGTTTGACCTGCTGTCTGTCTGGGTCCAGGTGTGAGGCTCACCTGTCCGCTGTGAGACTGGACCTGGACCGATAAGAAAAGAATCAATAAGTGTATTTACCATCGCAGCTCTGCATGTGAGACCATGTGGGATCTTTTTGGGGTCTGTTAACACACACACTGTTTTATTTATTTTATTTTTAAGTTACATTTTATTATTATTTATTGTGATTAATGAACTGTTTACAATTAATGGTTCATTTGTCATTTATTTGTAGCTTTGGCAAAATCGTTGTTTTACATTCATGCCAATAAAGCTGATTTGAATTGAACTGACGGACACATACAGGTACTACTGTTACTGATAAAGGTGTAGAAACTCCACCTTCAGGCAGTCGTGGGTCTGAGGATCTTCATCCAGAACAATAAAGATGATCCTAACAGAACAAAGAAGAAGCTAAGGTGGTTAAAGAGCTGAACTGGTAACTCACTCTGCTGGAGAACATCACAGAGCAGAGCCTGGCTGGACAACACAATAGAACAAAACGCTGCTGGAGAACACCACAGAGCAGAGCCCAGCTGGAGAACACCACAGAAGAAAACGCTGCTTGAGAACATCACAGAGCAGGGCCTGGCTGGAGAACACCACAGAACAGAACCCTGCTGGAGAACACCACAGAACAGAACCCTGCTGGAGAACACCACAGAACAGAACCCTGCTGGAGAACACCACAGAGCAGAGCCCAGCTGGAGAACACCACAGAGCAGAGCCCAGCTGGAGAACACCACAGAAAAAAACGCTGCTGGAGAACATCACAGAGCAGGGCCTGGCTGGAGAACACCACAGAACAGAACCCTGCTGGAGAACACCACAGAGCAGAGCCCAGCTGGAGAACACCACAGAAGAAAACGCTGCTTGAGAACATCACAGAGCAGGGCCTGGCTGGAGAACACCATAGAACAAAACGCTGCTGGAGAACACCACAGAACAGAACCCAGCTGGAGAACACCATAGAACAAAACGCTGCTGGAGAACACCACAGAACAGAACCCTGTTGGAGAACACCACAGAGCAGAGCCCAGCTGGAGAACAACATAGAACAAAACGCTGCTGAAGAACATCACAGAACAGAACCCTTCTGGAGAACATCACAGAGCAGAGCTCAGCTGGAGAACATCACAGAACAAAACCCTTCTGGAGAACACCACAGAGAAGAGCCTGGCTGGAGAACACCACAGAACAGAGCCCTGCTGGAGAACACCACACAACAGAACGCTGCTGGAGAACACCACAGAGCAGAGCCCGGCTGGAGAACACCACAGAACAGAGCCCTGCTGGAGAACACCACAGAACTGAGCCCTGCTGGAGAACATCACAGAGCAGAGCCTGGCTGGAGAACACCACACAACAGAACGCTGCTGGAGAACACCACAGAGCAAAGCCCGGCTGGAGAACACCACAGAGCAGAACGATGCTGGAGAACACTACAGAGCAGAACGATGCTGGAGAACACCAAAGAGCAGAACGCTGCTGGAGAACATCACAGAACAGAACACTGCTGGAGAACATCGAACAGAACCCTTCTGGAGAACACCACACAACAGAACGCTGCTGGAGAACACCACAGAGCAGAGCCCGGCTGGAGAACACCACAGAACAGAGCCCTGCTGGAGAACACCACAGAACTCAGCCCTGCTGGAGAACATCACAGAGCAGAGCCTGGCTGGAGAACACCACACAACAGAACGATGCTGGAGAACACCAAAGAGCAGAACGCTGCTGGAGAACACCACAGAACAGAACACTGCTGGAGAACATAGAACAGATCCCTTCTGGAGAACACCACAGAGCAGAGCCCGGCTGGAGAACACCACAGAGCAGAACGCTGCTGGAGAACACCACAGAGCAGAACGCTGCTGGAGAACACCACAGAACAGAACGCTGCTGGAGATCACCACAGAACAGAAGCCTTCTGGAGAACACCACCGAGTAGAGTCCGCCTGGAGAACACCTCAGAACAAAACCCTTCTGGAGAACACCACAGAGCAGAACGCTGCTGGAGAACACCACAGAGCAGAGCCCGGCTGGAGAACATCACTGAACAGAGCACTGTTGGAGAACATCACAGAACAGAGCACTGCTGGAGAACATCACAGAGCAGAGCCCGGATGGAGAACACCACAGAGCAGAACGCTGCTGGAGAACACCACAGAACAGAGCCCGCCTGGAGAACACCACAGAGCAGAACGCTGCTGGAGAACACCACAGAGCAGAGCCCGGCTGGAGAACACCACAGAGCAGAACCATGAGATAATTGCAAAAACGCAAAGTTGATTGTTATACCGCCACCATGAGGTCTGTGAGGGCCTGAGTAGAGGGTGGAATTTGTAACCTACCTGCCAATTTTGGTGAGTTTTCGTCCAGCAGTTTTTGCTGCCCAAACTCTTTTAGCGTAGAAAAAGAAGAAAGAAGGAGAATCAGAACAGGATCCCTATATATGAAATATATTTCATCAATAAGGAGACAGACAGGTGAGCAGACAGACAGATGAGCAGACAGACAGGTGAGCAGAGAGACAGGTGAGAGAGACAGGTGAGCGGACAGACAGGTGAGCAGTGAGACAGGTGAGCAGACAGACAGGTGAGCAGACAGACAGTTGAGCAGAGAGACAGTTGAGCAGAGAGAGACAGTTGAGCAGAGAGAGACAGATGAGCAGACAGACAGGTGAGCAGAGACAGGTGAGCAGACAGACAGGTGAGCAGACAGACAGGTGAGCGGACAGACAGGTGAGCAGAGAGAGACAGGTGAGCAGACAGACAGGTGAGCAGACAGACAGGTGAGCAGAGACAGGTGAGCAGAGAGACAGGTGAGCGGACAGTCAGGTGAGCAGAGAGAGACAGGTGAGCAGACAGACAGGTGAGCAGACAGCCAGGTGAGCAGAGACAGGTGAGCAGAGAGACAGGTGAGCAGGCAGACAGGTGAGCAGACAGCCAGGTGAGCAGACAGCCAGGTGAGCAGAGAGACAGATGAGCGGACAGACAGGTGAGCAGACAGCCAGGTGAGCAGTGAGACAGGTGAGCAGTGAGACAGGTGAGCAGAGAGACAGATGAGCGGACAGACAGGTGAGCAGAGAGAGACAGGTGAGCAGGCAGACAGGTGAGCAGAGAGACAGGTGAGCTGACAGACAGGTGAGCAGACAGCCAGGTGAGCAGTGAGACAGGTGAGCAGACAGCCAGGTGAGCAGAGACAGGTGAGCAGAGACAGATGAGCGGACAGACAGGTGAGCAGAGAGACAGGTGAGCAGAGAGACAGGTGAGCAGACAGCCAGGTGAGCAGAGACAGGTGAGCAGAGAGACAGATGAGCAGACAGACAGGTGAGCAGAGAGACAGGTGAGCAGACAGACAGGTGAGCACACAGACAGGTGAGCAGACAGCCAGGTGAGCAGAGACAGGTGAGCAGAGAGACAGGTGAGCACACAGACAGGTGAGCAGACAGCCACGTGAGCAGAGACAGGTGAGCAGAGAGACAGGTGAGCACACAGACAGGTGAGCAGACAGCCAGGTGAGCAGTGAGACAGGTGAGCAGAGACAGGTGAGCAGAGACAGGTGAGCAGAGAGACAGGTGAGCTGACAGACAGGTGAGCAGACAGCCAGGTGAGCAGTGAGACAGGTGAGCAGACAGCCAGGTGAGCAGAGACAGGTGAGCAGACAGACAGGTAGCTGACGTCCTCTCGTCCTCTAATTGATGATTAATGAGTTTGTTTGTTTTGGGAGAAACACTGGAGTGTTTACACAACACACACACACACACACACACACACACACACACACACACACACACACACACACACACACACACACACAGGTGAGCAGGTGAGCAGATGTGTGTGTCTGAATCAGCAGCTTCAGAACCAGAACCTGAGCCTCACAGCGTTTCATGTCCCTGACCTCTGATCAGTTTAATTATCCAGGTCTGACAGGATTCTGGTTCTAAAGGGGGACCACTCAGAGACCACAGGTCTGGCTGCTGGTCCACAGTCTGCCACAGCTGTCCCTGTCTGCTGTCTCTGGGTCCTATTCAGACTCTGTGTACTGAACTCAGTCAGGGTCCAGACTCACTCTCAGCTGATCAGAAGTGGGAGGGGCTCAGAGTAACTTCAGCGTTTAATCTGTGTGGACCGGGGGTTCAGAGCTGCCTGCATTCCCCTAGAACCAGAACCACCTGAGCCACATCCTGGTCCACTGAGAGGCTGGATCCAGAGTCCGAGGAGGAGACAATGTTAATGTTAGACCGTGAAGTGAAGTGAAGTGTGTCAGTTCAGATGTGTAACTTTCATTCAGTAAATCCTTGTGTAGTAAAATCCGCAGGTCCGAGTCCTGAACTTTGGGCTAAAACTCAGCAGTTTGCCAATTCTTTACTGAAGCAGAAGAAACCAGAACCAGAACCTGTTCCGACCCTTTATATTTAATATTAACCATCTGTGACGTCATCAAGAAAACAATAAACACCGTCAGATCAATAATCACTGAAGTCTGATTATAAACGCCCCCCCCCCCCCTCGGCCCCTCCCCTCCTGTCTGCCAGCTCGCGCCTGTCTCACCTGTCTGTTCACTCCTACCTGAAGACTCACCGGAGCCGCACGCGCTGTCGGGAGGAGCCGCGCGCAGGGTCTGAGAAACTTTAACGAGTTTGAACTCCGAGCAGCTTCCGGTTCCTAAAACATTATTTCTCTTTTATTTCGGCTTCCTTTTGGTTTTATTGTTTCCTCTCCTGTCTGAACTGAACCTGGAGGATCCGGACCAAGACCAGGACAAGGACCAAGACCAGGACCAGGAGGATGTCCCGGGCGGAGGAGCGCGAGGAGGCGGACTGTGTGTGTTCGGTCGGGATGAAGTTCACGTGGGACATCAACGACCCCAAACTGCCGCAGGTAACCACCCGACCTGGTCCGGGTCCGGTTAAAGATCTTTAAACCTGCTCGCGAGGTTCCTCCTTCAGACTGTCGCTAAAATAAAATGTTAATATTATAAAAGAAAAAGAAACTGAGCCGCGTGAATAAAACGCGTCTCTGGCTTAAATGCTGTGAAAGTTGTACGGAGTTTGGTGGAGGCTGGTGCGCGCTTTCTCTGGAGCTGCGGAGGTTTAATGACCTGAAAAGAGTTTACGTACAGTGTCATATTTAATCAGTTTAATATGTTCATACAAAATATAACTTAATAAATAAACTGCGGCGTTACATAATTCTCCTAAATACTCAGAAATGTGTACAGAGTTTGGTTTAAGGATTTCTCAAAAGAATTTACTCACATATTTGAGACATGATTATAACAAACTCTGTCTCCCATAAACGATATTATGTAAAACAAATGTAACATAAATAAAATGTTTTTAGAACAATATGAGGACACGTGTCTCACAAAATGTTGATCAATAACCTGATTAAAGGAGTTCGATCAGAATTTTAACCGTTGATTATTTTAATTCTACTGATGACACTAAAAACAGTGTAAAGTAAATCACAGCTGACAGTGAAGAGAACTTTAAGATCATGTTGATGATTCACAGAAAACCATTTAATATCTCACTGAATTTATATAATTGTATTTGTTTAAATACTATAAATATTGTATAGAGTTGGCTGGAGGCTAAAATCAGTGGTTTCTCAGGTGGAGTTCTGCTGGAGGAGTCTGACGCCTCTGTTTATTCTCAACTCTCACATGGGTTACAGGATTATTAGAGGGATGTAAATTCAGAGATTTACTGACTGATGTTTGATACCAACAGCTGTAATTGTTGTTTTAAAGACAATATTTTTACTGTTTTAATCTGAAAACTACAGATTTAATTGTGAACAAACACTGATTTGATTTATGTCATGTCAAACAGAAGATTACAGAAAACCATTAAATATCTTAATATATCTTAATCAATATGTCTATATTGTTTTGTTCATTCAGTGTGTATATTAGTGTTGTCTATTCTGTGGTTTATGTCTGATTTTATTTTTATTATATTATTATTTTATTATTGTATAAGTAAGCACATCGTAAGTCAAATTCCTCATATGTGTACACATACCTGGCAATAAAACTGATTCTGATTCTGATAAATAAAATAAAAATATATTTTTTATATGAATAAAAATTAAAACATTGAACATATATTGAATGTATATGTTTGTAATTGTTGAAATACTAAAAATATTGTATAGAGTTTGGTTGGAGGAGTCTGCCGCCTCTTTGTAGTTGGAACTCTCAGGATACTTGTTATATATCGTGTTAATAATACAGGATAAATTAAGACGTTTAATAACTGATGTTTGGCACCAACAGCCGTTTCAGTGTGACCAGGTGGCGTTTGAGGTTCCTCAACACGTTGAACCAGCTCGTCCGTTTATTAACACGCTCCTCGTCGTGTTGATGAAACATTCAGTCTCTCTGGAAACATTTAAGGTTCAGTTAGTTTTACATAAAGTCATTTTTAGGGGAGTTTGTTTTAATCAATTAATTATTTTTTTTATTTCATTTAACTATTTATTCAGAATCCCTGTAAATCTGTACGTTCTGAATCTTTCTCCACTCTCAGTAAATCTTTTGGAAATCAAAGCAAAGTTTGAAGAGTTTTTACCTAAAATTGGTTCCTTGTTAATATTAATATATTTATTTAAATATTACGATATTTATTCTGAAGTCTGTTGGCCTGTGTGTAACCTGTTTAACATAATCAAACCCTCAGATTCCCACATAAATAATGGACTCGAGCCAAAAACCAAACTATGTGCAAGTTTTTATTCATTTAAGAAAACAACAGAATAAGCAAATACATTTCCTTTAAATGTTGTTTCTGTATATTCTGAAATTGTCTTCACAGCCTCTCGCGTCTCTAGCTTTTGTTTACTATATATACATATATATCAAGTTAAAATATTTTCACTAAATTATTTTAATTCCATTCATTTTTTTGCCTAAAAACAGTAAATTATTAATAATTAATTAAAATCTGATTTGATGTTAAACTGTTCTTTTTAGGAGACGCAGTTTGTTGTAATCAGGATTTTATGGACTCTGAGGACGTGTGTTCAGCAGAACTCCACTCAGGAAATCACAGATTAAAGCTTCCATCCAAACTCTGTACATTTTACACGAGTTTCTAAGAAAATGACCAAATGAACTGCTGTTCTGTTGTTTCAGAACTTCTCCACACTGTCAGGTCTTTTGACCGTAGTCTTATTGGTAGGATCTGAGAAAGCAAAACGTAAACAGACTTCAGGACACATGGTTATATCCGATAACATTATTTAGTGTCTGATGTTTGGATTATTTTCTAACACCAACATTGTTTTTTAAAATCTTTGTCCCGTTTTGAAAAGTACAGATTTAAACTGTGAACAGACGCTGAGCTGATTTACTTCATGTCAAACAGTCAGATGTTACTGATGATTCTCATTTCATCAGCTGATCAGTTCCCATCAGTCAGATCTATTGATTGATGTATTTAAAGGGACAGAGCACAATAATTTAGTATCATCAGTATCGTTTAGTCAGAGGCGCGTTTTCACGTGTCGTCCCCGGCGGGTGGCCTCAGAGGTCGGAATGAAATCTGAATATTTACTGTAAAGGGGCAGCTGTTCTGTGTGATTCTGATCCAACAGGTCAGGAACAGACAGGAACAGATCACAGACTTCGTGTCTTCAGCCTCTTCGTCTCAGTCTTGATGTGGGGTCAGCGTGGCGTCCTCTTACTGCAGCCGGTAGCTTGATCCAGATCTCTGAACCCTGAACGCGTCACTGCTCTGCACCACCGGCTCATTCCACTTTAATGTGTTCACTAATGTGTAGTTATGATGTGCAGCACGAAAACATTTTCATGGCTCTTTTAAAAAGGGACTCTGGTGGTTTGAGCGTTTCAAGATTCAAGTTTGCTTTATTTGTTCCGAGGGAGCTTCGTCCCGGACAGAAAGGCCGCCACACGTTAAAGCACTTACAGTTGGTTTAATAAGACACAAACAGGAAATACAGCACAGCCTCGCTACAGTTTTGATTTGTTTGACCTTTATTTAAACTCATGAGATTCAAAGACAGGCAGCAGCACCGTCCCAGTAATCAGTCAGAGCGTCTACAGTTAGAGTGTGCAGCCCCACGTCATTTAAAAGCAACCAGAGAAGCGGCTCCTGGACATTCAGGACATTTTGCAGCTGAGGAGCCGAATACTGAAAGGCCCCTGTTCCCAACTCAGTCCGGACTTGAGGGGCAGATAGTAGTAATAAGTCCTCAGAACAAAGACAGCATCTTCCTGTGCCTTTCTTTTGGATGTAGGTCTGTAGGTCTGGGGGAAGCAGACCGAGAACAGCCTTGTAAATAAGAGGGGGCCAGTGATTAAGTCTACGGGTGATATCCGGTCCTGAACAGAGTTTGCAGAAAGCATAAAAGAAGAACATAGAAAGTCCCGGGGGCCTTCAGAGCATCATTCAGGAGGGGAACAGTTCCTGGAAGTGCTGCTCTGATGGGATTTGTTTGATTTGTTTGAAGTGAGATCCAGTGGAACGCCACGGTGTCTGGATCCTGAGTCTGGATCAGCATTTATACAGTTTCTACCCGCTGAGCCAATCAAATCACAGGATTCACTTTAATGACCTCCTTATTACATATTAATGAGCCAAAAGAGTCAGAGAAATAAAGATGTTACGGACAGAAGGCTGAAGGTGACCTGAAGGCTGTGAAGCAGCTGACTCAGCTCTCCGTCTGTTGTTGGCCAAACAGAAAAAACTGGTTTTTATATTTTTGTTTTCAGTGAAACCAAACAGCCTCTCTCCGGTCCGGAGTCAGCTCTCTCTGACTGATCCGGAGTCAGCTCTCCCTGACTGATCCGGAGTCAGCTCTCTCTGACTGATCCGGAGTCAGCTCTCCCTGACTGATCCGGAGTCAGCTCTCTCTGACTGATCCGGAGTCAGCTCTCTGACTGATCCGGAGTCAGCTCTCCCTGACTGATCCGGAGTCAGCTCTCTCTGACTGATCCGGAGTCAGCTCTCCCTGACTGATCCGGAGTCAGCTCTCTCTGACTGATCCGGAGTCAGCTCTCTCTGACTGATCCGGAGTTTTCAGTTCTCAGAAAGTTCAAACTCCTGCGATGAACTTTAAATATAAATCATTAAAAACTGTCAGTGTTTTTAAGTCAGCTGGATGACGGACGAAGACACGAGCAGTACAACAGATACTACACACAGTACACACAGCGGAAATGTTTAACTTTTAGTGCATTAAACCTCAGACTGATCAGGTGTTAATGCTGGTTTGTAGCAGAGGTCAGCCCTGTGCGCCAACAGCACGCTGTGTTGATCCAAGTTCATCACTTAAAAGGCTGACTGATCTTCAGGGTTAGAGAAGCCTCTAGTAGCCACGGCAGCGCCGCTTAACAACTGGTTAAAGAAACTTCTTCAGACTGGCCGAGGATGTGGAGCTTCAGCAGCTGCTGGTTCCCAGAATACTCCGGGAGGCTGCTGGCCTGCAGAGCACTTTGAACTTCCCAGGAAATGTGCTGCACCATTACATCCTCACTCCTGACTCGCCACACGCTGACGCTTGGTCAGGACCCTTTAGCGTCACTTTTAGACGTTTAGGGCTCCGCGGTCAAGTTAGCAACGCTTAGCAACAACAAATATGCAACGTCCAGTTACACTTTCAAAATAAAACGCTAGTTCAGTTTAGGCAACAAAACTATTTGGTTAAGGTTCGGAACAGATCATGGTTTGGGTTAAAATAACTACGTAGGTCAGTTAACACACAAGTTAACTAACGTCACTGCATAACTTAAATAAATATATTGAATGTTGACTTTTTGTTTCACTCAGGAGACAAACCCTCCTGGTTCAAAGTGAGGGTTCTGGCCCTCCATCCACCCGATCCACCTCTTACTCAGTCTGTTCTGTTCGATATCATATACCTGCCTTCACCGTCACAAGCTGGTGCTACAGGGCTTCCCCCACTGCGCTGAACTATGACGCTGTAGGGATCCCCAGTACGTTACAAACTGACGCCGAGGGGTCTTGACCATGCGTCCATATGTGACGAGTCGCGGAGTGAGAACGGTCTTACTTTGATCAATCTGATGTTATTTTAATGGAAACAAGGACCTTTCTACGTCGACTGGTAGCGGACAGCGCTGGGGAGGAACTAGTTACATGTAATTCAGTTACATCATTTAATTACAAAATAAACCTAACTGTACTCTCACAGTTACTGATAAAAATGTTGATGATTACCCCGAACACATCTACACATCTGAATATCTCCTGTAAAAAGCTTGGCTGTATGTTTAATATTCATTTTGTTGCTTTGCACGTTTTTCATGTTTTGCTGTTTCCATTTAGTTTCTCCTGTCTGTCTGTCTGCAGGACACGAAGCAGTTCGACCCGTTTCAGGAGTGGACAGACGGTTACGTTCGGTTCATCTACAGCGGTGAGAAACCTGCACGCAGGAACCATGAATCAGTAAAGCTAATTAAGCTCCACAGCAGTTTAACCAATCAGGACCTTCAGTGGAAACAATCCAAGTGAATGTAAATGTCTCTACTGTTACTGTTTGCTAGTTGAGCCCTTGAAGCTGATGCAGTACTTGTACTTGTTGTGTCCACAAGGTTGAAGTGAGTCGCTTTGGATAAAACCACCAGCTGAATAAATGTAGTGTCACTGTTGTTTGTTGTTACCTGAAGATAAGAACAGTCAGACAGATTAAGCTAACTCAGCTGACATGTTGTTTTCCCAGCAGCAGTAACCGGTCCTCTGGTCCAGCTAACTGCTCGTTGCTGCTGGAAACATGAACACTCACTGTTGGCTTGTTTGTAGGCGAGGATAAGAACGCTCAGAGACATCTTTCCGGCTGGGCGATGAGAAACACCAACAACCACAACTGTCAGATCCTGAAGAAGTCCTGTCTCGGCGTGGTGGTCTGTTCCCGGGGCTGCACGCTGCCCGACGGGTCAAGACTACAGCTCCGTCCCGCCATCTGCGACAAGGCACGGCAGAAACAGCAGAGTAAGACAAACCAGAACCTGTTCAGGTCTCCTGCACCTGGGGCCCTGTTTGCCTGACCGGACTCTTTGTGTTTCAGAGAAGCTGTGTCCGAGCTGTAACGCCACCCTGGAGTTGCTGCCGTGTCGCGGCCACAGCGGTTACCCCGTCACCAACTTCTGGAGGATCGACGGAAAGGCCATCTTCTTCCAGGTCACCGCAGTTACCCTAACAGACACACACAGGCTAACATGCTAAACAAGCTAACTGGCTAAACGCAGCAGCACATTCAGGCGCCGAAAACAATCAGAAAGTTCATACCAGATCCTGAATGGTAAACCAGTCCTTGGAAAATCTAAACCAGTTCCTTAAAGCCTGTCCAAGATGACATGTACTTTGGACTGTCCAAGCTACATGTCGTCTTGGACAATGTCTCCCACCCGCTCCATGACGTGCTGCTCAAACACAGGAGCACTTTAAGTGCAAGACTCATTCCCCCAAAATGCACCACAGAGCGCCACAGGAAGTCATTCCTGCCTGTGGCCATCAAACTCTATAACTCCTCCCTCTAAGTGTCTGACACACGGATGCTTAGTTAGTTTTAAACTGGACATTATTATCTGTTTTGTGCGATAACACCTGCTTAAATACTTAATGTGCAAAACTCTGCAGCTATTTATTAATTATTACTGTTCAGCATAAGAATTATTTAACTATGTAAATATTGTACATATCCACACTCCTTTATATTGTCTTTATTTTATATTTTCTTTATATACCAACATCACTATCTTTATTTATATTCCTATTGCCTTTTGCGCAGTGTGAGCAACTGTGACACAGAGGGATCAATAAAGTATTTCTGATTCTTATTGTAAAGAGGAAGCATTTTAAAAAGACTGGACAGTCTGGACAGCTGGTTTAAACCAAATAACCAGATCTTTGATGTTTACATAGGTTGACTTGACTTGGCAGGTCTAAACCAAATCCTGGGAGTCTAAATAGATTTAAAACAATATCTGAAAGCACAAACAAATTTAAACAAGGACTTCCCCGTCTAAACAGGTTTAAACTGGATAATGACAATATAAACTAGGCCTTAGCTAGATTCCAGTAGCCTTAACCGATTTAAACCAGATACGGCACTAAAGCAGTACTAAAAGCATAAAAATATTTAAATAATCTCCAGACAGTCTGAACAGGTCAATAAAACAAATTCAAAAAATCAGACAATATGTACAATCTAGATTCTGACACTGAACCAGATCCTGGATGTCTAAATGGGGATCTAAAAGCAAAACAGATTTGAACAAGGTTCTGAGAGTCTGGACAGATTTAAACCAAGTCCTGGCAGAACCTGCAATGTAAACCTCTTCATACCAGATACTGGTAGTCTGAATGGGTAAAAACCAGATTCTGACCATCCAAACAGGGCCAAACACATCCTCACAGTGTAAAAACCCAATCCTGGACCTTTAAATATGATAATAACTAGAGGTGTCACAACAAAACCAGATTCTGAAGGTCTGAATGAGTCCCAGTCAGATCCTGGAAGTTTAAACGTCTTGTGGTCCTTCAGGCTAAAGGAGTCCATGATCATCCCAGACCAGAGTCCAAGTCCGAGACTGAAGCCAGGAGAAGCTCAGTGAAGAGACGAGTCAGCTCTCCGCCGTTCACACCCAAGAGACGACTCATCGAAACACAGGTCGACTACAACAAACAACAACAGCAGCTGTTTGTTAATGTTGGTGTTGTTTATCGTTTGTTTATTGTTTGTTTGTTGTTTCCTGTTTCAGGCTTTGGGCCCCACCCTCCTCTCCTGCGTCGATCCATCAGACAGACTGTCCTTCATCGAGCCGAACTTCCCACAGCATTACCCAGCATTCCAGAGCCCAGAGCCCTACTACAACCCCCACAATGCACTAGGGGACACCCCGCCCACACTACAGAAACCAGCCAATCCCAGGCTTTACATGGGCCGGCCCAGCTATGAGTTCCAAGGATACCTGACCTCGCCTTCCTATCCTATGACCTCTGACCTCTGTGACCCCAGGTCAGCCTCACACCTACCCAAATCCCTGATGGTTCCAGATGCCAGTTTAAACAGGATCTGATCCAAGCAGATCTTCACAGTCTAAACAGGTCTAAACTAGATTCTGGTTTTGTGTGCAGGGTGGCCCCAGTCCTGGGATCCTCATCCTCCTCCTCTTCATCATCGGCTCCTCTCTCCTCCTCCTCCTCCTTCGACCCCCAGACCAAGTCTCCCGCAGGCTGGAAGGACCTGCTGAAGAGCTCCGCCCCCTACGGTGACAACCACCACTATTACAGCACCGAGTACCCCTGCCGTTACCCCACTAATGCCCCAGGGTCCCCCGCAGCGCTGCAGACCATCATCACCACGACCACCAAGGTGAGTAACAACAGTAACTAAGAGGGGCTGGCACTGACCGTTACTGTTACTGTCACATTAAAACCAGTTCTGATCCTCCTCAGGTCTCCTATCAACCCTGTCCAAAGCCTCCTGCATCGCTGCCTTCCTACCCATCCTGTCCTAAACCTTCGGCCGGACTCTCGTCCTACCAGTCCTGCGCTCCCCCAAAACCTCCAGGCCTGCCCGGCTGCTCCTCCATGATGGATGATGCCTCCCCTTCCTCATACTCCACTGAGGTGAAGGTGACGGAGGAGTCGGGTGGAGTCATCAAGTCTTTGTCATTTCAGCCTGAACCTCTGCAGACCAAAACAGAGCGGGCCGACGGCTATGACTATCGCTACGCCTACCCCAACACGTACCGCTACGACGACTACTGACGCAGCACTACCCCCAACACCATGACCACTACTACTGCTACGCCTACCCCAACACGTACCGCTACGCCGACTACTGACGCAGCACTACCCCCAACACCATGACCACAATTATCGCTACGTCTACCCCAACACCATGACCACAACTACGCTACGCCTACCCCAACACGTACCGCTATGACGACTACTGATGCAGCACTACCCCCAACACCATGACCACAACTACTGCTACGCCTACCCCAACACGTACCGCTACGACGACTACTGACGCAGCACTACCCCCAACACCATGACCACAACTACCGCTACGCCTACCCCAACACGTACCGCTACGACGACTACTGGCGCAGCACTACCCCCAACACCATGACCATAGTTACGCTACGCCTACCCCAACACGTACCACTACAACGACTACTGATGCAGTACTACCCCCAACACCATGACCAGAACTACCGCTACGCCTACCCCAACACGTACCGCTATGACGACTACTGATGCAGCACTACCCCCAACACCATGACCAGAACTACCGCTACGCCTACCCCAACACGTACCGCTATGACGACTACTGATGCAGCACTACCCCCAACACCATGACCAGAACTACCGCTACGCCTACCCCAACACCATGACCACAACTACTGCTACGCCTACCCCAACACGTACCACTACGATGACTACTGACGCAGCACTACCCCCAACACCATGACCACAACTACCGCTACGCCTACCCCAACATTTACCGCTACGACGATTGCTGACGCAGCACTAACCCCAACACCATGACCACAACTACCGCTACGCCTACCCCAACACGTACCGCTACGACGACTACTGACGCAGCACTACCCCCAACACCATGACCACAACTACCGCTACGCCTACCCCAACACGTACCGCTACGATGACTACTGGCGCAGCACTACCCCCAACACCATGACCATAGTTACGCTACGCCTACCCCAACACGTACCGCTACGACGACTACTGACGCAGCAATACCCCCAACACCATGACCACAACTACCGCTACGCCTGCCCCAACATTTACCGCTACGACGATTGCTGACGCAGCACTAACCCCAACACCATGACCACAACCACGCTACGCCTACCCCAACACGTACCGCTACGACGACTACTGACGCAGCACTACCCCCAACACCATGACCACAACTACCGCTACGCCTGCCCCAACATTTACTGCTACGACGATTGCTGACGCAGCACTAACCCCAACACCATGACCACAACCACGCTACGCCTACCCCAACACGTACCGCTACGACGACTACTGGCGCAGCACTACCCCCAACACCATGACCATAGTTACGCTACGCCTACCCCAACACGTACCGCTACGACGACTACTGATGCAGTACTACCCCCAACACCATGACCAGAACTACCGCTACGCCTACCCCAACACGTATCGCTATGACGACTACTGATGCAGCACTACCCCCAACACCATGACCAGAACTACCGCTACGCCTACCCCAACACGTACCGCTACAACGACTACTGACGCAGGACTACCACCAACACCGTGACCACAATTACGCTACGCCTACCCCAACACGTACCGCTACGACGACTACTGACGCAGCACTACCCCCAACGCCGTGACTACTGATACTACAACTAGTACTAGAAGTACAACAATTACTTTATCTACACAAGCTGTTTGGTTCAATATCTGAATGGTGTACTGAACTTCTGCTGCGACTGGACGGTTTAGGAGCTGAGAGGATCTTCAGGACTAAACTCTGAACTGAACCTAAACTTTGGCCCATGAGAAACTTTCTGAAGATGTTCATGGAGTTCATTCATGTTCCCTAAGGAAGATCCTTTTTCATCTCACGCCAGCTGTCCTCTAGCGCCCCGTTCAGGACAAAAAGTGAAGATTTTGGACACAAGATTAGACAGAAATGTAAGAACACTCAAACTGGGACTTGGTGTTTCTGGAGCTTTCAGTCCTGTCTCATGGCCTTCAGCAGTGAAAGGAGTTGAATGGAGCAATTGTCATTTTAATGGTTTTGATAGTTGTCACGTGACATAAGTATGGAGTGCATTTTGGTATAGGTGGTGGAATATGTGTGGAGGTGGTCTCTGCAGGTAGAAGTGAGCTGTATGTTTTAGGCCGTGAGCAGACAGGAAGTGTTTTTTGCAGTGAAAGGTGTCTTTATCCAGTTTTCTACAGGCAGCGTTTGGCGCACTGCTCAGCGCACTGCTCTGAACACCTCAAGTAGAAAAAACAAACTCAGAAGTGGAAATCCCAACGTCATTAGCTCTCTGTCTGATCCTCTGAGTCCTCAGAAGTGAGGTGCTTTTGGTCACGTGATGATAAACTAAACCGTCCTGTTATTTCCAAAGTCATGTGTGAACCTTCAAGCTCAGGATTCAGTTACTTTGAACCACAAATGACCTCAGAAAGAACCAGCTCTTTATTTCTAACATCCTCTGTTTTATATTTGAACATATTTTAGTACGACACCTCCCTGTTTTCTGATTCCACTCAATCAAAATGTTAAGATATTTTTGGTCACTGCATTCAGAAAGTGTGTTGAACCTGTGGGATTTATCATCAGGAATGTTTGTGTTTGGGTTATTTATTGCATCAGTCAGTAAAGTGGTTGGACTGACCTACAGTGTGAAAGTGAACTGGATTGAACTGGACCGTCTCTGCTGCTGAAGGAAAGAATCAGCTGCTGAATGAGATGAGAACATGTCAAAATGTTTCTGTATGAACTGAAGTCTCACATTAAAGAAACTTGTACAGACTCTTGTTGTCTGTATTCATTCAGAGTGAACACGCAGGAATGATCATTAAACGATGTCATTTTAAGAAGAAAAAGAACTGTTGTAACGTCCCTTCAACAGCATGTCGACAGCAGGTGGTGAGACGTGAGATAACGTGATCTCCTCTTCTTGATCCCACAACACTGTAAAATTTAGATTTAAAATGGAAAAGTATATTTAACAAAAGTAAAAGATTTTGTAGAAAGACAGTTTTAAAACATGAAGTGAATTTTACTAATTGTTTGTTACAGATAAACACAAAACACTGTTTAAATGATAAAAACTGTAAAATAACAGCACAGGAACTGCTGGGTTTGGTCTACAGTCACTAAACACTGTGATAATAATAATATAAAGTGCTAACAAAATAACATCAAGCGCTAATCCCAGTTACATGTAATTATTTGTCAGAGGTCGCACGCCTCTGGAGCAACTAGGGGATAAGTGTCGCAGTGGGAACCAAACCAGGGTCTCTAACACCAAAGGCACATGTCTTTCCATGTGAGAAGGCCAGGTGAGTGTCGGGGTCCAGGTGAGAGCACCCGGTGAGTGTCGGGGTCCAGGTGAGAGCACCCGGTGTGTGTCGGGGTCCAGGTGAGAGCACCCGGTGTGTGTCGGGGCCCAGGTGAGAGCACCCGGTGTGTGTCGGGGCCCAGGTGAGAGCACCCGGTGAGTGTCGGGGTCCAGGTGAGAGCACCCGGTGTGTGTCGGGGTCCAGGTGAGAGCACCCGGTGAGTGTCGGGGTCCAGGTGAGAGCACCCGGTGAGTGTCGGGGTCCAGGTGAGAGCACCCGGTGAGTGTCGGGGTCCAGGTGAGAGCACCCGGTGAGTGTCGGGGTCCAGGTGAGAGCACCCGGTGAGTGTCGGGGTCCAGGTGAGAGCACCCGGTGAGTGTGAAAATGTTGATTGTGGGATCTGGAGGGTTTGTGCTGGACTGCTACTTTAGACTCCTGCTGTGCTGAAATGCTAATCTGTTATGTTTCTATATATTTTATATAATCTGTATTTAAAAGGTCTTTTTAGTGTATGTATAACTCTTGTTCATACGTTTTATTTCTGTTCTGTCTTGTATTTTTATCTGAACTGTGTTGTCCTATTCTCTGTTGTGTATCTGGAGCTACATTTCCTCTGTGTGAGATCAATAAAGTCTACCTTATCTTAATCTCCTGAGGGTCATATGAAATCACATGGGTACCACTGAGGCCCCTCCAGTGATGTTCTGGTCCGAGACCGCGCAGAGGTGAACCCGTGTCCCCTCCTGGGTCCGGAGCCTCAGAGTTAGCACCCTGCAGCAGAGGATCAAAGAGCTGGTGTTTGGATGTCGTCTGGTTTCAGTCTGTATGAGTAATAAATGTTGTTTTGACAGGAACGCGTCGGGACAGGAATCACTCTGCTGTCCTCACAGTGAACCTTTAAAGCCTTCTCCTCCTCCTCTCTTTCACTACCTTCCATTAAAATCACTCATTCCTTTGCCCTTTTCCTCGTCTCACTCGTTACCTTCCCTTCAGTTTACATTACATCCATCAGTACGTAATTATGTTCCGTGTTCAGAGGCTGAACCACCCACTCTGATCCCGCTGCACGGCAACCAGCACTCACATCATCTCTGGACAGGCGAGGGCACCAGGTGAGAGTCCAGCAACAGGTTATGGGTCAGCAGCAGGCGAGGGCACCCGGTGAGAGTCCAGCAGCAGGCGAGGGCGCCAGGTGAGAGTCCAGCAACAGGTTATGGGTCAGCAGCAGGCGAGGGCACCCGGTGAGAGTCCAGCAACAGGCGAGGGCGCCAGGTGAGAGTCCAGCAACAGGCGAGGGCGCCAGGTGAGAGTCCAGCAACAGGCGAGGGCGCCAGGTGAGAGTCCAGCAACAGTGCCAGGTGAGAGTCCAGCAACAGGCGAGGGCGCCAGGTGAGAGTCCAGCAACAGTGCCAGGTGAGAGTCCAGCAACAGGCGAGGGCGCCAGGTGAGTGTCGAGCAACAGGCGAGGGCGCCAGGTGAGAGTCCAGCAACAGGCGAGGGCGCCAGGTGAGAGTCCAGCAACAGGCGAGGGCGCCAGGTGAGAGTCCAGCAACAGTGCCAGGTGAGAGTCCAGCAACAGGCGAGGGCGCCAGGTGAGAGTCCAGCAACAGGCGAGGGCGCCAGGTGAGAGTCCAGCAACAGGCGAGGGCGCCAGGTGAGTGTCCAGCAACAGGCGAGGGCACCAGGTGAGAGTCCAGCAACAGTGCCAGGTGAGAGTCCAGCAACAGGCGAGGGCGCCAGGTGAGAGTCCAGCAACAGGCGAGGGCGCCAGGTGAGAGTCCAGCAACAGGCGAGGGCGCCAGGTGAGAGTCCAGCAACAGGCGAGGGCGCCAGGTGAGTGTCCAGCAACAGGCGAGGGCACCAGGTGAGTGTCCAGTAACAGGTTAGTGGTCAGCAGCAGGCGAGGGCGCCAGGTGAGAGTCCAGCAACAGGCGAGGGCGCCAGGTGAGTGTCCAGCAACAGGCGAGGGCACCAGGTGAGTGTCCAGTAACAGGTTAGTGGTCAGCAGCAGGCGAGGGCACCAGGTGAGTGTCCAGTAACAGGTGAGAGTCTAGCAACAGGCGAGGGCGCCAGGTGAGTGTCCAGCAACAGGCGAGGGCACCAGGTGAGTGTCCAGTAACAGGCGAGGGCACCAGGTGAGTGTCCAGTAACAGGTTAGTGGTCCAGCAGCAGGCGAGGGCGCCAGGTGAGAGTCCAGCAACAGGCGAGGGCGCCAGGTGAGAGTCCAGCAACAGGCGAGGGCGCCAGGTGAGAGTCCAGCAACAGGCGAGGGCACCAGGTGAGAGTCCAGCAACAGGTTAGTGGTCAGCAGCAGGCGAGGGCGCCAGGTGAGAGTCCAGCAACAGGCGAGGGCGCCAGGTGAGAGTCCAGCAACAGGCGAGGGCGCCAGGTGAGAGTCTAGCAACAGGCGAGGGCACCAGGTGAGAGTCCAGCAACAGGTTAGTGGTCAGCAGCAGGCGAGGGCGCCAGGTGAGAGTCCAGCAACAGGCGAGGGCACCAGATGAGTGTCCAGCAACAAGCGAGGGCACCAGGTGAGTGTCCAGCAACAGGTTAGTGGTCAGCAGCAGGCGAGGGCGCCAGGTGAGAGTCCAGCAACAGGCGAGGGCGCCAGGTGAGAGTCTAGCAACAGGCGAGGGCGCCAGGTGAGAGTCCAGCAACAGGTTAGTGGTCAGCAGCAGGCGAGGGCGCCAGGTGAGAGTCCAGCAACAGGCGAGGGCGCCAGATGAGTGTCCAGCAACAAGCGAGGGCACCAGGTGAGTGTCCAGCAACAGGTTAGTGGTCAGCAGCAGGCGAGGGCGCCAGGTGAGAGTCCAGCAACAGGCGAGGGCGCCAGGTGAGAGTCTAGCAACAGGCGAGGGCGCCAGGTGAGAGTCCAGCAACAGGTTAGTGGTCAGCAGCAGGCGAGGGCGCCAGGTGAGAGTCCAGCAACAGGCGAGGGCGCCAGGTGAGAGTCTAGCAACAGGCGAGGGCGCCAGGTGAGTGTCCAGTAACAGGTTAGTGGTCAGCAGCAGGCGAGGGCGCCAGGTGAGTGTCCAGCAACAGGTTAGTGGTCAGCAGCAGGCGAGGGCGCCAGGTGAGAGTCCAGCAACAGGCGAGGGCGCCAGGTGAGAGTCTAGCAACAGGCGAGGGCGCCAGGTGAGAGTCCAGCAACAGGCGAGGGCGCCAGGTGAGAGTCCAGCAACAGGCGAGGGCGCCAGGTGAGAGTCTAGCAACAGGCGAGGGCGCCAGGTGAGTGTCCAGTAACAGGTGAGAGTCCAGCAACAGGCGAGGGCACCAGATGAGTGTCCAGCAACAAGCGAGGGCACCAGGTGAGTGTCCAGCAACAGGTTAGTGGTCAGCAGCAGGCGAGGGCGCCAGGTGAGAGTCCAGCAACAGGCGAGGGCGCCAGGTGAGAGTCTAGCAACAGGCGAGGGCGCCAGGTGAGAGTCCAGCAACAGGCGAGGGCGCCAGGTGAGTGCTGAAGAACCCTGCCACCCTGCTTTGTTAGCCAGCAGCTACGACACAAAGTCTGCCAGCTAACTTCACATGCTAAAAGAAGCAACAAAGTAGCTGAGGAGAACAGACTGGTTCCCTCATCTGATTTGACTGCAACAGAACCACAGTTCTTCCCCACCAGGCCGATCCACAACCGACCTGCCACCTAACGACTGGCACGCCAAAGCAGCTTCTCTTCCTCTACGGGCTGGGAACATACCTGTGCGTTATAAAACCATAACTCCCACCAAAGAGAATGCCGCTGTTGGTGACAGATGTCTCGCTGCGTGTTGGTTTTGTCCAGAAAGTCAACGACACGTGAAGGTTAATTCACCTCCACAGGTGTCACATTTTAGGAAGTTTTAGTGACACGCCTGAGAACATAGCTCAATATGTTTAGCTTCCCTCCAGATGATTCAGATTTAGAATTCAGAATCAGATTTATATTTCACTGAATTTGTTTGGAAATGGTTCACTGATGGCGAATTTCACTCGTCTCTTGCACTGCAGCCTGTACAGGACAGGGACACCTGCATTTAGCTTCACTAGCAGCTCTGTTTATGCTAATGTCCACCTGTCGGAAATGTCCTTCAGACCGCCATGCTCCCCTCAGGATGAACTGTAGGAACTCTGGTGATGCTCTGACCTCCCATCCAGCACCATCATCAGGTCAACATGTTAACGTGTCCAGTACTCCTTAGATTACACCTGACCCTGCAGATCAGGTCTCTCAGCATTTACATTTATTCATTTAGCTGACCCTTTTATCCAAAGCGACTTACAATTGCTACATGTCAGAGGTCGCACGCCTCTGGAGCAACTAGGGGTTAAGTGTCTTGCTCAGGAACACATTGGTGTCTCACAGTGGATTTGAACCCGGGTCTCTCACACCAAAGGTCAGGTCAGCAGAGGTCAGTGGTGCAGTAATTATAAATCCCCACTGTACCTACTTGACCTTCTCCATCCCTACTCCCCCCTCCCAGAACCTGCGGTC